GGGAAGAGGAGAATGTTGTCAGTTTACAAATCTTTCGAAATTGTAAATTAGAGACGAAGATTTGCTTGCTTACTGATAACACTTAACGGCTCTTCATACCTGAACCAAAGATTTGAAGACATTCTTCACTTCCCGACTTATATTTAATTATAATTTATATTCTATTAATTTATATTCTGCATTTTGGGTTATTGTACAGAAGTTGTTGACTGTTTTCCCATCTTCCTATTTGGTAGAACGTGGATTCAGTGCCGTTATGAACCTCATCACAAAAAAAAAAAAAAAAAGAAACCAACTAGAAATTATTGATCGTGGGGATTTGCGGTTGCTACTCACAAATATTGAGCCGGATATAATATATATATATATACATATATAATATCTATCCATGTACTTTACTAATTACTTTTTCTTTATTATTTTATCAATCTGTCTATTTTTTCATCTTTCGAACAATTTACACATTTCTCCATTTCTTTTTTCTATTGTCCTTTCTTGTCAACTCTCATATATTTATGCTCTCTCTCTCTCTCTCTCTCTCTCTCTCTCATCTCTATTCTATTTCTTGTTTATTCTGAGTTTATTTTAAGTAACACTGTATTCATGCATTCTTTCTATCTATCAATTCATTTATTTAAATAATCTCTATTTCTCTCTCTCTCGCTCCCTTTCTCTTTCTCTCTCTAATATATTTATGTGTCTTCCTACCTATCTACCTGCCAATGTGTTTATGAATTTGCATTTTATCCCTTTCATTCTCAAATTGTATCTGCCCCTTTCTTTTTTCTCCCATTTGTTTTGTTCTTTTGTTTCATCATTATTTTTTTATTTCTTTGTAGATATGCATATCATTCTACGTAGGCAACTATCTAACTTTCTATCCGGCTCTCTCGTTTAGTCACAAACCCTCTTTACATATATAAAATATATCGCTATATATCACTCTTACTCTGCCATACTCCCTTTTATGCTGTTTTGTAGCTATTTTCCTCCTTTATTTTCACTTCATCCATCTATCCATTGTCTTCGTTCCGAACTCAGTCTTACAATTCTGTATTACTTCTCATATTTTATTTATATAAAAAGTGTGTAGTTAGTTTACGAAATTGGCAATGCTAATTAACTACTGACGTCTTCACTTCGGAGACTGTCCAAACATGACGAGTGGATAATCGGGACAAATTCTGTTGTTGTGAACTGCTCTCTGAGAGCAAACAGTCAATTTCATTCAGTATTGTTTCCAACTTGAATAAATCAGAAGCTATTTAGCAAAATGGGCCCCCCCGTTATTATAGAAGTGAAGTGGAGTAGCTCCATGACAATGCAAGGGCACAAATTTCGTTGGGTGTCCTTGCAATGACTGATCAGATAATTCTGCTTGTCATTTCTCCATCAATTCATAGCTGGTCTAATCAAACAGGGCATAATTTCTTAACGGAACAAATAAATTTTGGAAATTTAAGTAAATCAAAATTTTTGGGGGTATTTATTCGTCTACAGGAAATATTTTCTCGGTAAATAAAATGCCAAAAATAAACATTTTTTCTACTTTACAAAGAGCTAAAAATATTTATCGCTTTTTGTTATCTATAAAAATATAGAAAGTATAAAATTTATGAAATACGTAAAACAGAAAAAATAATACGGTAATACTCGCGTTGACACTTGGGCACCTGCGCGGGCTTTGGTCCAAAAGCCCGGACGAGGGATGATCTTCACCCGACTTAGGATTGGCCATACGCGGTTGACACATGGGCACCTGCTTTTGGGCCAAAGCCCGCGCAGGTGCCCCTTATGCAGAGAAAGGGTGCTCGATGAGTCCCACATAATAGAGGTGTGTCATGCCTTGGCTCCATACAGAGAGCGTGTAGGCATGCCGCCGGACTTAAGAAGAGTTCTCGAACACGATAGCGAGTTTCAGAGTCCCCTGTTCCGCTTTTTAAGGGAAATTGAGGTTTTTTATTGTATATAATATGTCTTATGTGTTGTGTCTATATGTTTGGTCTGAGTGCATGTATTTATTAGCGTGAATGGCGAGGGGTGAGGGTGAAATATAACGTCATCATCGCCCCTCGAACGTTGACAGCGTATGAGTGTGTGTTCGGGGTCGTTGGCGGAATATTTATAAAAGTGCTCCATCGACCCCATTCTAGGTTAGTTTGAGTGTAGGTCGATGGAGGAATATCAAGTACTCCACCGACCAAACGGAATGAGTGTTCTGTATGGATGTATNTTATCGTGCCAACGTTTCGATCTTTATTGAGATCATCTTCAGGGCCTGGGATTTAGAAACATTGTTTACATTTAACAAATACATTTAGGATGTGGAAAAGTGAATTTATACAATGCAAAATATATTTTTTATATTCAATCAAATTATTTCTACTCACTCAAAGTGTTTGTCTTCTGAGTAATTGTGCCATTCTTGGTGTCGTGTTGAGAGTGCCAGTGAGATTTTGCTATTTTGTGTTTATATACGTTGGATTTTGAAGGGGTGGGGAAGGATGTCGGCATAGAAAAGACATTTTTGTAAAGGCGTCGGCTTCTTTGATGTGAAAGGAGCCGACGAAGGGAAAAAATGTTTCGGCCAGATTATCCTTTCAGGATTATATAGAAAGGGATAAATAGGAAAAGGAAAGCTAAATTGTTGGGAAATTAGACTATGTGAAAAATATTTGATGTGTGAAATGTAATGTGATGATATAGGTATGTTATCTGTGTTGAATTTGATTAATGATATTGGCGTAGCTGCGACTGAGTTTACATATATCTGTTCTGTAATTGATGCTGTGTTTATCTCTGTTGATATAAACCAGTTCTAAGAAATTACGTTTATGTTTGTTTTTTCTGTGTGTAATAATTTTGGATTTGAGTATGTGGGTAAGACCAAACCAAAGTTAAAAACAGATGAGCTCAACACAAAAGGGATTTTAGGAATCTAAATAGAGAAGCTGCAGCCCTTAGTAGGCATGCAAGGGACAATGATCACCGATTCAATTTTGATGATGGAAAAATAGTTTGCAAAGTTAAAGGCCACGCCAAACTGAATTTCATGGAGTCTGTACAAATTAATATGAACACCAAGGCCTGTAATTTCAACACCGGCAAACTCCTTGTGGGTAGATGCTATCGGAACATCTTATCATCATCTATTCCAAATTTTGAAGTAAACAGGGTTTGATTGTATATAGTAATAATATAATTGCTAATTTTAAACTTGAGCGGCTTTGTTGAGGTGAGAGGCTCCAGAAGAAAAATCCAAATGCTTCGTTCAAAACATTTATTGACACGTTCCGGACGTCTCACGACCTTCATCAGGTACATAAGCTACAATAACAGTGAATAAAATTTATTTAAAAAAATTTTAAATCCTTAAAAATTGAAGTTAAAAAAATTAAATAGCATAAAATCTCAAACATAACAGTGATTGTTTAAAATTATTATATAAAGCTGCATTTGAACATGAGTTGAATGTACCAGGAATTTACCATTGTTTTTTGTGACAGTAACACCCTTTTCATGCTATGTTATCCATGCTGGAATAGGCAGAGGTTGTGACTTAGTTGTCTGTCCCTAGGTAGCGCTGGTGTATTGTGCGCTGGGTTTTGGTTTGGCCAACCTCCATTAAGATGTTCCGATAGCATCTACCCACAAGGAGTTTGCCGGTGTTGAAATTACAGGCCTTGGTGTTCATATTAATTTGTACAGACTCCATGAAATTCAGTTTGGCGTGGCCTTTAACTTTGCAAACTATTTTTCCATCATCAAAATTGAATCGGTGATCATTGTCCCCTGCATGCCTACTAAGGGCTGTAGCTTCTCCATTTAGATTCCTAAAATCCCTTTTGTGTTGAGCTCATCTGTTTTTAACTTTGGTTTGGTCTTACCCACATACTCAAATCCAAAATTATTACACATAGAAAAAAACAAACATAAACGTAATTTCTTAGAAATGGTTTATATCAACAGAGATAAACACAGCATCAATTACAGAACAGATATATGTAAACTCAGTCGCAGCTACGCCAATATCATTAATCAAATTCAACACAGATAACATACCTATATCATCACATTACATTTCACACATCAAATATTTTTCACATAGTCTAATTTCCCAACAATTTAGCTTTCCTTTTCCTATTTATCCCTTTCTATATAATCCTGAAAGGATAATCTGGCCGAAACATTTTTTCCCTTCGTCGGCTCCTTTCACATCAAAGAAGCCGACGCCTTTACAAAAATGTCTTTTCTATGCCGACATCCTTCCCCACCCCTTCAAAATCCAACGTATATAAACACAAAATAGCAAAATCTCACTGGCACTCTCAACACGACACCAAGAATGGCACAATTACTCAGAAGACAAACACTTTGAGTGAGTAGAAATAATTTGATTGAATATAAAAAATATATTTTGCATTGTATAAATTCACTTTTCCACATCCTAAATGTAATTGTTATATGTAAACAATGTTTGTAAATCCCAGGCCCTGAAGATGATCTCAATAAAGATCGAAACGTTGGCACGATAATGAAAATGTTTTTCTGAAACCTACATCACACCAGACCGCATCTCACGAATTCTAAATAAATATCGATTAACGGTCACTAATCACCACATATATATTATAAAAATCAAGTTAAAATAGTTTCATCATAAGCCTTGCCGTTTTGAGTGCTATCTGTTTCCCCTTTTAGAAATGCATAAATCTTAATTTTGGCAGGATCAAATTATTTGCTTGTGCGCGCGTTATGCGAAAATGTTCGTAATCCTTAACGGATGGTTGCCATGGGATCCGGCCTTTTCTGATAAATACAATCTCTTTAAACCGACCAGCCTAAAAATAGAAGACAGATTTTCAACTTAAAAGAGTCACTAATATCAGGCCTTTTTAGACATATCGATCGGGAATTAATTTTGAACTTACAAAACAAATTTAAAAAATTCGCAAGATAAAATCGACAATATAAAGATAAAAAGCATATGATGTACTTACTCGGCGATGTCAGCTTCACGTGCCACCCTGCATATAACTCCTCTGTTCATGTTGCATTTTCCAGTAACAGGGTCCGGTGGTGCTAAAGAAATGTAAGGCGGCTCTTCCAGGAATGTAATTTTGAGGTGAAACTTCTCCGGGACACCCTGGGGCGGTGTGTGAGAATTGCCGGGCCATACGATGTCCTTTATATCCAAACCTTCCTTCTGCCAAGACTTCCAAACGCCGATCTGAAATAAAATAAAAAGGAAATTTCACTTAGTTCTGATTTAAGAGAAAACTATAAATTTAAAAGAAAAACGGCAATAAAAAGGAAATAGTAATAGTAGTTTATGGAAAAGGTGATTGATGATTTGTTATATATTGTAATGATTTACTAGGGTATATTTTCTAGTTGAGACGATCAACTTTCTTGGACTTTCGCCTTTATTGTTGGCAATGGACTGAGATTAATGGTCTCCATGAGCGTAATGAGTTCCATATCTTAACCTGAACTGCATCTCTGGTAAGTTCGTATAAAAGCAAATTATGGTCGTTTACAAGAAAATAGGCCCAGGCACTTGCTATTTAACTTATGTTTCAGCGATTGGTTCATATTTTTAACTCAATGTAAAAACGTATTTATATTACTTTGCTTGGCATTTTTTTGAACATATCAAGCTTAATCGACTTCAAAACATTCAAATTATATCTGCCTGGTTTGAACAGTTGTCAGAAAGTGTGTGTGTGTGACAGGGAGAGGAAGAGAGAGAGAGAGAGAGAGAGAGAGAGAGAGTGAGAGAGTAACGATTATTTAAATACACGAAAAAATTAGGTCTGTAAAACTTTCTTACATATAATGTATAGTTACAATTATAAATTTTGTTTACAGTTTTTCAGTTTTTTTTGCCATTGCCAGCCCTCTCTTCTGTAGATTTACATTTCTTTTCTTATCTTTCTCGCTTGCTTCTTTTTTTAGTTTCTCCACCTGATTTTCGATATTTTATGGTACAACGGTATTCAACTCCCTCTTTTCTTCGCCCTTTTGCTATCGACTCTGTACCTCAGGCTCTCGACAATTGTGGATCAAATAAGACAAATCACAAACACAAATACACAGAAACACACAAACATGATAGTCTGGTTAGCATTCACAATACACAACAGTACTCGATATTCGTTGGAGTAATCGGGGATACCCTACCAATTACGCTAATAAATTACATTCACACACCAGACTACATTAACCCAATTCCAGAGTACTCGATATTCTTGGAATTATTGGAGATAACCCCTTCATTTACGCTAATAAATTACATTAGCACTACTCCAGAGTTCTCAATTTTCCTCGGGTTAATTGGCTTCCATCCAAGCTAATAAATTACATCCACGCAGCACAAATATTTTCACATTACCTCGAGTACTTGATGTTCCTCCATCAACGCAAATATTCGTTCCAATAAATAACATATATCGCATACATACATCCTACATACAATTTAAAACATTGATAGCCGTATACAGTTGCATTAGGCATAAAATAAAAATAACAAATTATAGTAAAATCAACAGTAAAGTAAATGATTTAAGTGAGAGTAAGTTAATTAATTCCCAATTAATTAATATTTGTGGAAGGTATTGGTTGAGATAAAAAAGTCAATGTCACGAGCGGGATTCGAACCCACGACCTTCCGCTAAATACGCCGCTGATCTGCCACTTGAGTTATCGTGACTTCGATCCGCTCGGGCACCAACTTCCCATCTCAACCTCACCTCTCGAATTTTCCCTCCTTTTTGCCATTTTTCAAATGCCGGTTAATCAATTTGATTCTCGGCGACAAATGAAATGGCCACCACCCAAAATTAAATTTAAATAAACCTTTTTTTGCATGAGTGAAGAAATAAAAATTTATGAAACAATGACAACCATTTATTTAAATTTAATTTTCGGTCCTTTTGATTGTATCTTTTTAATTAACAAAGAGAACGTGTTTTAATGATTTTCCAAACAGCTTTGGGATTTGTAAATTGATTTTTCAAGCATTTGTACTTGTCATGCCTTATTAAATGATTGAAAATGTCTTACTAAATTTGCAAGTGTTTATATTTTTGTTATAATTTTCATAGTTTACAAGCATTTCAACCAACACGGAAAGATTCGATCAATCTCTACAATCAGCCTCAGATATTTCAACAGGTTATTTCACATTCTAAATAAACTTTTTCACTGTAATATTAACAATTTTATAAAATAAATACACCCAAATTTGAACAGGATTTTTGTAAATTGCGCCCTTTTAATAAAAATCCCTTCTCATCATTTTAAGTAATTTATTGCACACCAGTGCTTTCCTACCTTCTCCCGCACCAGTAATATATTGTTGTTTATACTACCATTTTGCCGAATCTACAGTGGTTTCGTAGAAATGGGAAATTTTCAAGAAGGTTTCACCGCAAGTAGAAATAATTCTGCCGTGAGCAACTTTCATAAAGAAGGGGGAAAAGAAGTATAGGAGTAGACGTAATGCTTTATTTCTCTCTTTCTCTCTTTCTCTTTCTCACTCTCTTGCCCAATATTTCTATTATCCTTTCTTCTCATTCTTTCTATAACTCATCCTCTCTTATACATTATTTTCTTTATTTATAAGATCTACAACTCTTTTTTTATTATTTCTTCTCTCTCTTTCTTTTTTTCTATGTATAAACTGCCTACTTTTTTTGTTTGTCCACCTTCCTTTACTTTGATTATTAGTTCTACATTCCTCAATTCCTAAATTTGTTAGAAGACTAGAATCCATTTTTTAAAATTAAATGCATTTATTAAAACTGGTCTTATTAGACCAACCATTAATTTTACAATAATATTATAAAATAAATAAATGTTTACATTTGTAAAAACACATTGGTAAATAAGATTTACATTTCACTATTCACTATTCATTTTCAACTACACAAGTTCATATGGCTTTGTTCTTTTTAATCTTCTGACCATGTTTCGGTTATGTAAGAGTTTGGTCGCTTCCACATTCTCGTGCTGGCTGAGACGAGCCTTGTTTTTGGCGGCAAATCTTTGTATTTCCGCCGTGACTTCAGGGATCTTAAGATCCCTATGTAAGTCCTTATTCCTTATGAACCATGTTACGTAAGATTTTACTTTGGAGTGTTCGTATGAATTTGATATTGCTGTTTGGTACAACCCCATAATTGAATACCATATGTTTATGGTGGCTTTATGACTTGTTTAAATAATAATATTTTATTTTGTATAGCAAGATTGGAGCCACGTCCTATCAACCAGTATAGTTGTCTATACCTTAAACCTATTTCTGTCCTTTTTTTTTCTTCACGTGTTTTTTCCATCTCAGCTTGGCATCTAAGATCATTCCCAGATATTTAGCCGTATCGCTGTATGGTATAGTAGTTACATCGATTGTGAGCGACGGAACATGGTCCACCTTTTTGTTTGTAAAGATTAGATGAACTGATTTATGCTGATTTAGCTTGATTTTTCATTTTTTTTGTCCATTCGTTTATCTTATTACATGCATTTTGGAGGATTTTGGTTGAATGGGTGATAGTCGGTCCTAGTGATATCACCGCTGTGTCATCTGCGAACGTTGCAATTTTTACTTCATCTATTTTCGGAAAATCACTGGTGTATAACAAGTAAAGGGCCTAATATACTACCTTGTTTTTTTTTTTTTACGAGGGTTCGCAACAGCAGAGGTCATATAAACCCTCAGGATGCCGGTGCTTTTGAAAAAAAGCCCATTTGTAAGTATGTCGGGTTCGAATGCAGGGCCGCTGGATTCGAACCCGGGCCTTTTAACTTACAGTGATGAGCGCCGTGTCAAAGACTAAACCTTGCGGCCACCAACGCCCCCCTGAAAATCACTGGTGTATAACAAGTAAAGCAGTGGACCTAATATGCTACCTTGTGGCACTCCTGGATTTATTATTTTTAATTTTGAATATTGTTCTTCTTGTTTGACTCTAAACAGTCTGTCAGTTAGGTAGGCACTGATAATATCGACATACTGCTTTGGTACCATACCTTTTAGTTTCTTGATGAGTCCTTGGAATCCATATAAACGACTTTATGTGTCATCTGCAAACGTTGCATTTTTACTTCATCTATTTTCGGAAAATCACTGGTGTATAACAAGTAAAGCAGTGGACCTAATATGCTACCTTGTGGCACTCTTGCATTTATTATTTTTAATTTTGAATATTGTTCTTCTTGTTTGACTCTAAACAGTCTGTCAGTTAGGTAGGCACTGATAATATCGACATACTGCTTTGGTACCATACCTTTTAGTTTCTTGATGAGTCCTTGGAATCCATATAAACGACTTTATGTGTCANGGCCCTGAAGATGATCTCAATAAAGATCGAAACGTTGGCACGATAAAGAAAATGTTTTTCTGAAACCTACATCACACCAGACCGCATCTCATGATCTCATGATTTCTGAATAATAGATTGGTTTGAATATAAGAAAAGAGAGATTTTTTTTGGCAAGGGTTCTCGGTAGCCGAGTGGTTAAGGCGTCAGACTCTCGGCTAGTAAATCCCGCGGTCGTGGGTTCGATCCCCACCGTCGCCTCTGGACTTTTTCTGACGCCTCAGGGGACCGTGGCCGCAATTGAAAGAAATTGACACGGCACTCATCAATGGAAGGAACGGGATCAGATCTCAACGACCCTGAATTTCTTCCCAATCCCCTTCAGAAATGAGTTTCTTCGAAGGAACGCTCAAATTCACACATGTGTTGCGAGCCCCCAAAATGGAGCCAGGGGGAAAAAAAATTCAGAATCAGAAACTCATTCGAGTTGTGTTATTCTATCGGTAAAATGAGGCTTTTTTTAGTTTGTGCTGGAGTTTTTCAAGAACGTTTTCTCTAACAATTTTTTCGGCGTTTCGAGATGAGATTTGGAAGAATATAAGAATTCATAGTATGATAGGTCCTAATGTACACAATTTTGATTTCTTAGTCTTTTTGCAGAAGTTGCAATTATACAATATATATATATATTACACAGGGCGGGCGACCAGGACCCGAGGGGTTAAAAGCCTGAGTAGGCCCGTACCCCATCCCTAGAAGGTCCGGGACCTGGTCGGCTCACGAGTCCTGTATAAACCTATTGGACCTATTCACAAACCCCAGGATTGTGGACCATTTTATCCTGGGGAGTGTTTTGGTTATGTCCTCTCCTTCGAAAGTATTAAATCTTTCCCTAGCATACCTATCG